CTAATGCCCTCCCTGGCGTTATTACAAAATGCCCTCCCAGGAGTTATCACAAAGATATATATATATATATATATATATATATATATATATATATATATATATATATATATATATATATATATATATATGTATATATATGTATATATATATATATATATATATATATATATATATATATATATATATATATATATACATATATATATATATATACATGTATATGTATGTTTATATATATATATATATATATATATATATATATATATATATATATACTGATGTAAGTATAATAAAAGTTAGAAATAATTGACCCTAACTCTAAGTTTATCATATCTGGATCATTGCAAACATTGAAGGATTACCTTATTATATAAAGTAACTATTAAGTAAATTTTTAAACAGAATTTAAGTAGTTTATGTGCCATTAATGTTTTAAAAAGATATGTGGCTATGAAAATAGCCTTTTATGTTCAATTTCAATTTCCTTCACTTGCTTTCTTAATTTCACATCGCAATGAACGAGTCTTACAAGATTTCTTTCTCATTTTATGCTTTTCAATAACATCTTTGGCATAAGAAAATGAACGAACTCTTACAAATAATGTAATTAAGTGCTCTAGCAAATTCTTACTAACTTCGGTTGATTCTGGATCATTGCAAACTTGTTTAAAAAGAGATAAAACAATATAATTTGTTGACATGGAGTCAATTAGAACTTCAGGATCTAGTTTTGAAGAAACTTGTGTTGTTTTTTTACGAAAAATAATCTCGCATGTTAAAAAAAGATCCTGAATTATATTGTTTACTTTCCACAAACCCCCTCTATCTCTAATATTTACAAGTGCCTGAGTATCATCTTCCATAACCCTGCAGCGCAGTAAAATTGAAACACACTGTTGGCTATACTTACATAAATTTTTACTACTTTGAAATTTAGTATACAATCTCTGAAATATATATCCAATAAGATATTGTAAACTCTTTTTCTCGATATCAGTTATTTCTTGAGTTGTACCAACAGATTCAATTATATTTGGGTTTATATTAGAAAGATTATTTAATATAATGGCAGACATTTCAGTGAGTAGTGTATTGCTCAAAGTTATATCACTGAAGTGTGAAGCTAGTAGATTTTCGCTCAGCAGTCCATAATACTCTTGATAAAATAAATCACAATTGCCTTTAAATTTTTCTATAATCGGTTTTAATTTTTGCCAAAGATGTTCAGCATCATCTATTGAAAAACTAAATTGCTCGCATGAGAATTTTTTTCTAACATCAAATGGCAGGCACATGTCCATTTCCAATAAACTTGCACATTCTTCAACTATGCTTTTCAGCTTTAGCGGTGACAATTTATTAGAAGAATTCTCTGTATCAGACATTTTTACAGAACATTTTTCAAAACATTCTAAAATATGCTTCGATGCAATGTGTCTTTTTAAACCTCTAATTGTTTTGTATAGTTTAGGACATTGAGTGCAAGCATGTTGTTTGAGATTATCTCTATAAATATCGATATCAGAAACAATGGAATCTATATCTGTTACTAAGTTAATGTCATCATTCAAAAATCCTCCTTCAAACACATCAAACAAACATTCCAAATCACTATTTGTCTCAAAATCGCTGCTAAAATTTGCCATTATTATAAACTTGTGCAGGTTCGCCGGGTCGTCGTGTAGTTTTCAAGTTAAAATCGGAAAACAATGGAAATGGTCCGTGTTTCCAGACTATGTATTCTTATGACTATGCAAAAAAGAAATTACAATAAAAGAAAATCCTGGCCGGAGCAAGAAGAAGACAGGTTGTCTTATTACCGAGCCCCGTCACGCAAAAATTTACATGCACATTAATGATAAAAGACAAAAACACAGTATAAAAACAAAAACAAATCAAAAACTTCAGCAATAAAATAATTTGTTGCTAATAATCTTCCAGCAGAATAATTTTCAAATAAAATAAAAAAGTAAAAACGACAGAAAATCATAAAAGTTATAAAAACACACACAAAAAAAATGCGTTGTTTAATTAAAAAAAAAAAAAGAAATATATGTAAACATAAGTATTTGGGCTGATTATTTAATATCATCAAAAATAGTTATCTTTTATACTAATGGTTTGAAACCATTTTAATAAAAGCCAAAGAAAGTGATAAAGATTTAATTTATTTTTAAGTGATTTAGTTTAAACCTTTAAATTGTTTTCAAAAGAGGTATTTAAAATCTAATATATCGAATTCCATGTTCAGTAAATGCCGTTTTGAATCATCCTTAAAACTTTGCAAATTGCAGTTTAAAGTTTTTTTTTTCTTTAGAAACTCATTTTTCTTAAAAGATTTTAGACTCGCTCTAATGTTGCAATGTCAATTAATTTATGATTAATGACGATTTCTGTAATGATTTTCAGTTTCTTTACTTTTTTCATCCATAAGATAAAACTGTAGGTTTAAAATGGCCTTTTGAACTTGGGAAACAACATTCATTGCAGGCAAATTTTTCTCAAAAAATGTCATTTTGAATATAAGAATTTTTTAATATTTTTGGCAATTAAGGGAAAAAATTAACATTTTAATTACATTACAAGTAAAAGTTTTTAACGTTTTAAGATTTTAATGTAAGCATTTCTTCCATTTATTTTAAACTTGATTGATCTTCTATAAAATGAAAAAATGGAAATCTTTCTCTCAAATTAACTTTTTTTCATGAAACAAAAACTTAATTAAATTGAATTTTTTATTAAATAAACCAGAATTAAACCAGATTTTGAAAAACATACCAGAAAAAACAAAAAAAAGACTAAAAACTTTAAAATAAACCAGATTTAAACAAGATTTTCTGAAATAAACCTAAACAAAAGTTCCAAGCCAAACGATAAAAAAACAAACCAGATTTTCTGAAATAAACCAAAACAAAAGTTCCAAGCCAAACGATGAAAAAACAAACCAGAAATCTGGCTTTAAAAAACTCCAGATGGCAACCCTGATCTATTAGAAGGCCAAAAGTATGAAGTAAATTTTTATCTAATAAACTTTAAACTCATGAAACTCTTAACGAATCAAAAGTAAAATTGAAACAAATGCTTCTGGTTAGTGACGGAGTGCATGACTTCTTCTAAAGTTATCTGGTAGTACAGATAAGCTTTTTTAATTTATTTTAAAGTTTATCTTTCCAACCTATTATCACTTTGGGCGAATCATAACCTATATATTTAAATATATATATTTATGGAGAGATTCAGATCCTTATCTACTTTACTTTTGATTAATAATATTAATTAGTGTTTAACTTTAATCAATTAACATCTTTTTATTTATTCTTATCTTAAGAGTTAAACCAACATTTTATTTTTATTTGTAACTTTTTATTTGATTTTTTCAAAAGAATATAAATTTTTCACAAGTTATATGTTGCAAAATTTTATTTTTTATGTATCTACTACTCTTTTTATATATATTTTTAAGTAATAATTCTTATTTTACGGAGTCAATTCTTGGGGCTTGGTGATAAGACAAATTGTGTCTTCTTCTTGCCCCGCCCATCTGTATTTATCTATAAATTTATAAAAAATTTAAAACATTTTTTTTCAATCTTAATTTTTTTTTTGGGGTAGGGGGAAGGGGGGGGGGGTAGGGAGTAATCGAATATTGACGTAATTTCATAGGGGGTCACTGAAAATTTGACAAGTTGTTGACAAGGGGGAGGGGGAGTTTAAATTGCCAAAAAATTGTTGATGTAATTAATGGACAGCCCCATTACCTGTCTTTTAGTAGCACACTGTCAAGATGAAGGAATCCTATAATTATATAAAAATTTACCTCGTAAATCTTAAAATTAAACACAAGTGATATATTTGTACCGATATACCGAGGGCATGCAGTTAAAACTTTGCTCATCTTTATTGTGCTCGCCATTATCTCACTCTTGATTCTCTACCTCTACCAATGATATATTATATCAACTAGAAGACTAACTTACGGGATTTTATTGGACGAAAAATAGAGCTGTTTATTTTTTTGTTTGTAAACATAGCCCGCCATTTGTAAAAGGGCAAAAGCTGAAGCCGATGTGTGGAATAAAAGTTAAAAATGCAAATCAAAAGTTCCTAATCCTAAAAACACGTTTTAATAATTACAAAAGACTTGTAAAAGTTTTTTTTATGAGCCTATGTTTATTAAAAAGTATTAGAATTCATAAAAAAGTTTTAAAAGGGTCTGTCGTTTCACTTTTCTATTCAAAACATTAATCTCTTTCTAATTGAAAATAAATTTAGGAATCATAAATTATTATTTTACAAGTATTCGAATTTACTCTAAACACTTTTACATAAAAAATATTTACTTCATTTAAGAAAAGAAAAATTAAATATTTAATTACAAAAAAAACGAAAAAAAAACCCGCATGTAAACGTAGTTGGACCTGCCTTATCTGCCAAGGTCGAGCCACACTCACATCGTTGTAAAGTTGCATTTTTTTCACTTTTAAATTAAGATAATAGCTTGTGCATATTTTAATCCAAAATCGAAATATTACTCAGAAACACGCAGTTTACTTTGCAAAGGACATCTCAATTAAATACCTGAAATGGATTTAAATTTGTAGTAGGGAACTTCCTCACTAACTACAAGTCAACCAACTACACACAAATAGTTTTAAAACGCAACAGAGCACTTGGCAGAGGTTTCATCAATATATTTACGGAACTATTGAAGCTTAAGCGCCACTATATAGTTGCAGAAAACACAAGAAAATTAAAAAAAAACACACATTATAAACGATTGTTACAACTTCTCTCAGCGCACAACTTGTCTTAGTGTATAGCAGAATATTTAAAACTAAGAGTACAGATCTGACGTTCCACACGTAAAATCAAATTAACTTACAAAAAATTAAATATTTAGTGTTGTATTAAAAGATTTAAATATTATAATTTTATTTAGATAACTAATAAATATTGCTATTTTTAAATTATTTACAAAGATTTACAAAAAACAACTACAATTTACAAGTATATATATATATATAAAAAAAACAAAAGTTTATTTGGAGTTTAAGATAAATTATCAAATTCTGACAAAAACTGTCTTGCCAACCAGTCTAAACCTTCATTTAACCCTGTTCCTGTATGTGCACTGCAACCAATTAAAGTCCAAGTGCGACCTGAGCAAAGTCGATGTATTCCAATTTTTTCACGCAGATCATCAAGACTTAGAGCACTAGGTAAATCCTAGAACAAACATATTCAATAAAATTAAAAACTTCAAAAGTTTTTTTTTTTGTTAAAAGTAATTTTGGGATACCTGTTTGTTAGCATATATCAATATGAGTGCATCCTGCAATCTTTTTTCTGCAAGAAGTTTAGTTAATTCCTCTTGTGCTTCAAATAATCGTTCTAAGTTCGTACTATCAATCACGAATATCACAGCTAAAAATTAAAATGCGGTTTGACAAAAAAACAACAACAACACGTCAAACAACAACAATGAAAAATAAATACTAACTATGCACACCCATTTTGTCACATTACGATGCAACACTTTTACCGCTCATATTGAAATTTTCATGTTACCACACATAATTTTTCACAATATATTTTTAACGTTTATATTTTAAAACAAAAATGTTTGAAATACCTTGGGTGTTTAAGTAGTAATGCCGCCATAATGGACGCAGCTTTTGAACACCACCAACATCCCATATCGTAAATTTAACACTTTTATGCTCAATAGTCTCAACATTAAATCCTTAAAAAAAAGATAGCAAGATTTTTATTTTATTTTTACTATAAACAAAGTATTAAAAAATTGCTGAGGACTTTGTCTCATTAAAGTATTTAACAACTGCTCTTAACTCAATTAGTGACTCAAATAAACAAGTCAAATTTTTTAAATCTAATTATTACATTATAATCTATATTTAAATCATATTAAATTTAATTTTATTTTAATATAAAATCTATTTTATTTTAATGATACACCCAGTACTAAAAAGTTTACCAATTGTTGTGATTGCTGAAACAAACTCATTTTGCTTAAGTTTGAACAGAATCGATGTCTTTCCACCATTATCTAAACCTAAAGCTAGAACCCGCATCTCCATTTTTGGTCCAATGTGCACCCGATTGTCTTTTGTAAATGCAAACGGGATTTCAGGATCTTCTTTGCAAAGTTCTGAAAGCTCTGTAAAATATTGCTGTTGCTGCTGCACTGCATCAAGAAGATTTACAATATTTGCTCTTGCTTGAATCACCTTTTGCATAAGAAAAAAGATGACAAAATAAAAATTGCGGGCAAACAATTTCTAGTCATTTTTTCTTTTCAAAAATAATATTTTTATTATCTTAGCAATTTTGTTAAAATAAATCCATGTCTTGTGAAGTGAAGCGTCATGTGATGTGTGATCTGTGTGTGTGTGTATATGCGTGTGTGAGTAAATCTGACTTAATTTATAAACAAAATAACAAGCAAACATGACAACATAATATAAGCATGAAAATATACTATGATAGAAAAAAGACTTTTTTTTTTGTTCCTTTAAAAAAATAATTTTTAACTAAAATCTCAGCTCATTTTAAACTTATTGTTACAAAAATCTTTATTATCTTAAAGCTAGGACTAGCAAGATACATGATAAATTACCTAAATTTAAACATCTGATATTATGTTTTTTGGTTAAAGTCAACGCTATGATCTGGAATATTGGAGGTTTTTTAGTAACTAGAGATAATATCATTAGAATGGTATTTACTAAAACTTCTACAGCCGTAACAAGTCATAGCGCAATAGTAGCTATGATTTTAAAGGATTCTAAAATGCCAATGGATCATTGTAAATGGTCTACACATTTTATCATTTACATTTTACACTGGTTATTAGATTGTTCATTTACATCAACTTAGTTTTTCAAGCAGACCTCTTTGTTTAAAAATATCTTGATATAATTAGCAGTATTTTTTCATTTTTTATCCTATTTTTTATAATTTTTAGTTCAAAATAACTAGTATTATTTTGAAATAAAAATTATAAAAAATATTAATTATTATTTTTTATAATTTTTATTTAAACTAATGATTCTTTTATTTAAAAAGCAACAAAATCTAATTAAATGCCAAACTATTTTCGAATTTAATTTAGAAAATTAAATAATTTCATTCAACCATTTGTAATATATCAATGACAACTTTTAAAATAATTTTTATGTACCTATACACATCTCAGAAAATATTTTTAGAATGCTCACCTCAGCATCACTTCGCAATAGAGCTTGATCACATTGAGAACAAACATGAGTAATTTGTGAAATTAAAACTGCCATGTCTTCTTGTTGTTGTCGTATTGAACATAAATTTTCACGAACATAACTGTTAACAACTGACAAAGCCTCATTTTCTTGCTGTCTAATAGTATCCCTTAATTCATTAAAATACTCTCGAATACGCAACCTTGCAATTTCAGCATTTCCAATAACCGGTATTTGTATTACCTCTCCATTATTTGAGCAGGATATGCTGACACCACCTAAATAGTAAAAAAAAAAAAAAAAATTTAAAACTTTATATTACAACTACCAAACAACTTGGGTCTTAAAAGTAGCAAAATTATATAAAAATATCAAAATAATAACTATTTTATGCAAATTTTGTTACCTTTTTATGATTTAATCCCAAAAATAAAAAAATTCATTTTTCAAAAAAAGCTGTCTTTAATTTTTTTTTTTTAATTTTTCTATAAAATTTTTAAAAAAGTGTTTTTAATACAAAGCTATAAATTTTAAAATTTTAATAAAATTTAACTTCTTTTAAGACCCAGGTTGACATAAATCTAATAGTAAAGTCCAATAAAAAATTTTAAATTTTTTTCGGCTTTATTGGAAAATAGGGGGATCAAACGTATTCTAATATATACATCATTATTGCTTTAGTTCTCTTGTTTCCATGCTTGAATAGGTTGGACATTAAAAGAATTAAAGTGAGGTGGAAAATTTTGGCATTTTTTTTCTGATACTAAATTTGTCCTATTACTATAGGTAGAAAAAATAATGTATTCTAAAGATAATTTCAACCATTAATGGTTCAAAAATCCTTTGTGCAAACTTGTTACTAAGAAATGGTAGAGATTTTTAAAAAACAAGCTTTATTTAATGGTTGCTGCTAATATTAATTTACTAAAGAAAAACAAAGTACAAACACAAACTATTTTATTACAATAATGCACTAAGTTGGATCAAAGTGTAATACAGTGTTTTAGAAAGTAGCGCTCTAAGTTGACATGGTTTCTTTAAAGAAATTTTTCAATTTTTCCAAGTAACCTTTAATACACTTCAGCAATCGATGTCTAAAGGACAATTATTCTAAGATTAATTTTTAAATCTTTATCAGCAAGTATTAGTTTGGACTTTTAATGTCTTTTCTAACAGTCAAGGCAATGACCATGCTAATTTTATATTTTTTGATCATTAATGTTTTTTCTGCAAAAAAAAAAACAAAAAAAAAAACATGGCTTATGGCTGACTCATCTCAGAAACCTGAATCCACAACCTACAACAAAACTGCACAAATCTATTAGTGATTCTTTTATTTGACTAGATCAAAGCATGTATATAGCAATAGATCACTCTTGAATTCCATTGTGCATTCCAAACAGACACTGATTTAGAAAAACAACATCCAGGTAAAATCATTGTGTATTTGACTCATCCTTTACATAAATAATCCAGCTCAACATGTCTTTTTTTCCATATTAATTACATTTAATATCTGGCCAGTTAGGTATGTGTTGTTCTATTAAATCATGGTAGTCACTTGCAACTCACTAATAAAACAGTAATTATTATAAGGTGATATCAACAAGGAATTTAACTTCAAGTTTATAAAATACTTCAGAATGAGATCAGGAACATGAAGTCAAAAACTAAATCTGGTATAACTTTTGTTAAATGCTTAATTACCCCATTTTTCAAAATTGTATATACTTTCTTGATGTCCCATATTACAATGGATACTTTATTTAATAAATTATATCCCCAAATTATTTGGAATATAATTTTTATATATATTTTAGAATAGAATATAAATTTCCTAAATTACTTGGAATATATTAAATTAAAATAGCTTCAGCATCACTCTCTCTTACACTTTCAATGATAAAAAGATTTGGACTTGTTCAACCAAACCAAATATTGGATTTGCTCATCCAAACCAAAGAATTGGACTTACTTATCCAAACCAAAGTATGCTAAAAAAAATGCAAGTACTCTAGTTATATTGTTTTTGGTATTATCAAAATAAAAATAACACATTTCCATTAACTAGTCTATATAAGACCAAATCGAACTTATTTCATGTACTAAAATTGTAGAAGCTTATTGGGACGCAGATTTAGAAACAAATGCTTTACTAATTACATTGAGAACATTTCTTATGCAATATTTCCTGTTGACTATATTTGCAGACCTTCATTTTCATTTACTTTCTTTTAATATATTACTGGTGATCCTTGCACATTTCATTGGAATGGTGTAATCACTACTCAACTTTTACTACTGAAATTGTCTGTATCATTAAATGATTGAATATTTCTTTTATTTCAAATTATGTTTTTTATCAGTACTGCCTTTGCACTGATAGAAAGAGTTTTTCTGATTTGAAGAATTAGCATTTTTGGCCAATAAGTTCATTATTTTATTCCAGTTACTTATGTTTGCCTTCTTCATTATACATTGTGTTGTTTTAATCACAAACTTATAATCATAGCAACCTCTTCACACAAATTTCTTTGGAAAACATGGTACCATCAGGTTTTTCTGTAATTCTTAAAATTCAAAAGAGATTTCTTAAAATAAAATAAATTTTAAAAATCTATCAGAAAACCACCAATTGAATTTTGATACATACAATTTTTTGGCGTTAAAATATTAAAAGAGAAATCAACTTTTTAAATAAAACTATTCTCTGGTACATGCATGTATGCATCATTCTCTGGTACATCTAAAATAAAGTTTATATTTAAAAAAATATATAAACATATGTATATATATATATATATATATATATATATATATATATATATATATATATATATATATATATATATATATATATATATATATATATATATATATATATATATATATATATATATGTGTGTGTGTGTGTGTGTGTGTGTGTGTGTGTGTGTGTGTGTGTGTGTGTGTGTGTGTGTGTGTGTGTGTGTGTGTGTGTGTGTGTGTGTGTGTGTGTATATACATGTTAGTGTATTCTACAAATAGAGTGTTTAATGTTTCTAAAGAGCAGAGCAAGAATAAATTAGTTAAAACACTTATCTAATTTATATTATGCTCATCAGGAAGCTGATGAGCTTCCAGATGTTCAGCAGAAATGTTAGCACTAATGTAGGAAAAAGCTTTTTAACCTTAATCAACAAACACTTCCCAATAAATCACAGACTCCACAAAATTTTTAACAGAAACACGATAAAAATAAGTTATAGCTGTATGCCTAATATGAAATCTTTTTTAAATGCACACAATCAACAAATTATGAACAACAACAAAATTCCACCTAAAACCAACTGCAATTGCCTCAATAAAAATACCTGCCCTTTATCAAACCAATGCTTAACAAAAAACATTGTATACCAAGCCAATATAAGTTCCAATAATCCTACTAACACTGCTGTCAACAAATTCTACATCGGTATAAGTGAAACACCATTCAAAATTAGATATGCCAACCATATAAAATCATTTAACATTCTAAAATACAAAAATGACACTGAATTATCAAAAGAATTTTGAAAATTAAAAGATGCCAACTTAAACCCAGTTGTCAAATAAAAAATAATTAAGCAATGCAATGCTTACAACCCCACCACGAAGTCCTGCAAACTATGCACATACGAAAAATATGAAATTCTATTTTCCAAAAATAAAAATCTGCTAAACAAAAAAAGTGAAATGGTATCCAAGTGCAGGCATCGAAACAAGCTCCTTCTCGCCCTATTCGACACGGGTGAGCATTTTTCTAATCAATTAAAAAATTGTTTGCTTTGACGTCAGAACTCATTCCATTGCTTTGTTGTGGTTTTTTTCTGTTAAAATCTGTATTTTGTATTTTTTAACAGTTTTTTCTTAATTTAAAGAATAAAATATGGCTGATGATTGCCGAAGGGCATGAAACTTTAAGTTCCATCACAAAGTTGTATTTTTTCAAATAATCAAACTCTTTATATAATAATAATGTATAATAATATATATATATAATAATATATATATAATAACAATAATACATATATAATAATATATATATATATATATATATATATATATATATATATATATATATACATATATATATATATATATATATATATATATATATATATATATGAACTATTTATTAATTAATTATAAAACTATGTTTAAAATACCTTCAATTTTTTCTGATATCTCAGCAAGCTTTCTTGAAAAAGCAGTAACTTCAGCAGAAAACGTTTTCACATGTTGTAGTGCATTTTGAATAGATTTTCTAATGTTTTCAGCTTCATCTTCAATTAATACATGCTTATGCCCTTTATGAACTCCATAATCTTTACATATATAACACATTAAAGGGCTTTCACGGCAAGACTCTTCTAAGCATGCAAACTCTAAAATGTGAGCACAATGCAATGAACATGGAGGATTTATACGTGGTTTTTCACTAATAGGAATTTTTTTGTGAAGAAGCAATGTTCTAGATTTATGAGTTTCTTTAGCACAAAAATTACAAAGATTTGTTAAGCATACAGTGCAAAAAAGATCAGCTTGGTGACGATCATCTTCATCACATTTTGTTACACATGCTTCATCTACAAACTCTGTAAGTGCTTTTGACTCTTTCAACTGTTCTAGTCTTTCCAAAAGTTCTAATAGCGCAAAGTTTTTCTTTAATCCCCAAATTCCTAAAATATATATATAATATATATTTTAGGAATTTAAAACTTTAATCCCCAAATTCCTAAAATATATATAAAATATATACACACACACACACACACATATATATATATATGTATATATATATATATATATATATATATATATATATATATATATATATATATATATATACATATATATATACATATATACATATATATATATATACATATATATACATATATATATATACATATATATATATACATATATATATATATACATATATATATATATATATATATATATATATATATATATATATATATATATATATATATATATATATATATATATATATATATATATATATATATATATATATATATATATACATATATATATATATATATATATATATATATATATATATATATATATATATATATATATATATATATATATATATATATATATATATATATATATATATATATATATATATATATATACACACTTACTAAAGCGTGTTTTGATAAGCATTTGCTCAATTTTTCTGCTTACCTTAAGCTATACCATTTTTTTCGAAAAAGAAGAAGAAAAAACGAAGAATGATGAATAAAACAATTGCTTCCCCATCCCAAACCCTCAGTTGATGTAGCAGCACTCCACTGCAAGTCAGGCTATTTGTCAGTCGATGTATGTACTGAAGCCCTCAGTAACAGGCTATTTCATTATGATGTCAGATTGCTTACCTTAGTACGCAATACTATTTGTATATATATATATATATATATATATATATATATATATATATATATATATATATATATATATATATATATATATATAACCGTCGGAATAAGAAGAAATGAGGTTGGCAATAATTTGCTGACCTCAATCTTTTTGAGGTCAGCATCAGGTCGGCAAAAATTATTTGATACAAAGGTCTAACCATAAAATATAAAAACGAGGCCGACCTCAAGCACTTTGAGGTCGGCAGTTAGGTCGGCATTCGACAATGCCGACCTAACTGCCTATGTTTTATGGTCAGACCTTTGTATGAAATAATTTTTCCCGACCTGAAGCTGACCTCAAAGATTGAGGTCGGCAAATTATTACTGACCTCATTTCTCCTAATTCCGAGGGTTATATATATATATATATATATATATATATATATATATATATATATATACACATATATATCCTTATAGTGTAGTCGAAAGAGTCTTTTAATGTAAAAAAAGTCTCTTTCGACTACAATTTTAATTACCTCGTCTCTTAAGCTGTATTTGATTGTCGTCGAAATGTCAAAGCAATTAAATTAATGGGGAAGTACATTAAATTTAATTGTTTTTTAAAATTTTTTTAAAAAACCGCAATAATAACGACTAGAAAGTTTTTTTTTAATTAGTAGTGTTTTTGTTTTATCAAAAAACATTTTTTAAACATGCGTAAATATTGCTACATTGATTATCTTATAGCCTGACTCGCAACGGAGTGCTGCTACATCGATTGACAAATAGCCTGACTCGCAAGGGAGTGCTGCTACATCAACTGACAAATAGCCTGACTCGCAAGGGAGTGCTGCTACATCGACTGAGGGTTTGGTTTGGGCAGGCAGTCTATCATTTTAAAAAAAAAAAAAAATAAGTTTTTAAACTTTTTCTGGTCTGGTTTATTAACGCGCTCTTTAAAACTACAGTTTATGGGAAACTCTTTTTGACTACCATGCAAGAGTATATATATATATATATATATATATATATATATATATATATATATATATATATATATATATATATATATATATATATTTATATATTTATATAAAATTACAATGGCATATTAAAACTTAACATAAAATATAATTTTAAAATTTCATAAAAATCTCTGTCATTTTGCTAAACTTTGTTTTTCAAATGTCAATATCTGTAATGTAAAAAGGGGGCCAAAGGAGTAATTGCCCTGGGCAATTACTCCTTTAATAATTTAATTTAATTTATCTCCCCAAGGTTAAGAGGACCATTACAGTCGAGGAGGCTACTTTAATTGTAGGGACAACATTCTCTTAACTCTTCAATTCCAAAACACAAACCATGATGAATATGGCTGCTGCGCAGAGAAACAAGTTGCGCAGTACTACCTGAGATGTGGGGATAGAACTCAGAACTACACCACTACTGCACTTCTTTTTGTATTTTATTTGTTACTTTTTCTAATGTGCAATTTTCTGTATTTTTATGTGTAAATATACAAAAGAAATATAATTATAGCTGCTTTATAATTATACATTAAAGAAATATAATTACAAATGCAAATGCGTTCCATCTTCCCCAAACATGCCAGAAAAAACATACATTAATTCAACAGAGGGCATGTAAAAAATAAGGTGGGAAAATTGCAGGCAGTTATTTAAAAACAAAAAAACTAGCAAAAGCAACCATTTAAATTTCTTATGTGATACAAAAGAAAAATTACAAACAACACCCAATTTAATATGGTCAATTATAAAATGCGCCCTTGCATACAATGACATTACAAAAAAATGTCTACCTTGCTTATACAAAGTAGCTAATAATTTTGTTATACAAAAATACAAAGGCATTATTAAACAAACAATTAGGACTGATATCCTATAAATATAAATGTTGTCATAAGAATATAATGATATAAATGTATATATGATATAAATATAATATTATTATAATGGTATAAATGTTGTCATGAGAACAAATTTCTACTAAATAACCACAAACCAATCAGAGATTGGTCAAGACAGAGATTGGTCAAAGGTCAGGATTAAGACTAAGACTTAAAATTCCAAAACAAATACCAAAACCATCAAAAAGTCAACCCAAGACCAAGACCAAGACTTTAAAAGATTTAACAATACCAAGGTCAAGACTTTTATTTTTAAAAGTCTAACACAATAATGCTCATAGATTTTTATATACTGTTAGGCCTTTATTTAATGTAATATTTTACCATGCAACAGACAACTATGTATGACTTGATCTCACAACATACATTTTGGCAAATATAACAAAGTATGCATAAAGAAATAGAGTACACATTTTTCTAGATACAAATCTTCATGAGAGCGAAAAGTTGAGATGTATTTTACTATCTACATAAAAGTTGTGATGGATTAGTAGTAATAATAATAAATACTATTTATTATTATTACTACTAATCCATCAATTGTGTTGACATTTTTTTGTAAAGATCAAAAAAGTACAAGACGGTAAAGGTCCGAAACCAAGAATAATACTTCAGGTTTTCAAGACCAAGACCAAGACTCCAAGCTTCAAGACCAAGACCAATTTGTGTTTGTGTGCATTGTGGTATATGTTGCTACAAAATATAAGATTTTCTGGCAGCATGATATAAAATATCAGAGCATTTAATATGCTCAATTATGCCCTTATCATGATTTGCAACTTATCATTGCTTCCCATGTGACATAAAAGAAAGACAAGGAAAAAAAATTTAAGTGAAAATAAATGAACACAACATTTATTTTTAGCCCTAGGCGTTACAACACCAGTCAATTTTGAGTTGCTAATTTTAAATTAATATTAACAGGAAATTAATATCACTGTATCAATCAAATAGAAATAAACCAAACTTTGAATAAAAAAAATATCTAGCAGTATAAATTATTTATAGCAAACACTCAAACATATATAGATTCAACACTTTAAATTTCATAATTAGGGGCTGTTTGGTATGCAAAAAAAGGTAACTGGGAAGAACAAATAACAAAATGATTAATAATTTCACAAAATGCATCTCACACTCACCTATCTATCTCATATATTTACATATACCTGATATTTCAATTTACTTTATTTACATAGTAAAATCACTTTCTTCAATTTTATATTTGTACAAAAAAAGGAAATTATACATAATAGAAAACTAGAGAATGCATCATACAAAAAATTTCCAAAGTTATAATAAATACCAGCATCTCCTAAATTTGTAGATGTTCTATCAAAAGGACATTGAACAACTGTCTCATTCTGTAATTTACTTAAGCACTCATGACAAATAGAATGACCACATGATAAAACTCTTGGTACTTTTTCACCATGCTGTGCAAATAGATCATCGCAAATTCTACATTCAAGAGT